TGTGTGTGTGTGTGTGTGTGTGTGTGTGTGTGTGTGTGTGTGTGTGTGTGTACCTGTGTGCAGCGCTTCTCTGCAGCCTTCACACAGCTGATCACAGCCTCCTGTTGTCTGGTGAATAAACAACAACAACAACATGACAGGTATAGACAGGTATAGACAGGTGTGGACAGGTGTATACGGGTGTATACAGGTGCAGACTGGCGCGCTGCCTCTGATTGGCCGTCACCTGTGGGCGTGGCTCAGCTCCTGCTCTGCTCTCTGCAGCTTCTCCTCCACCTGCTTCTTCTCCCTCTGAACCTCCGACAGGTGTTTACCCAGAATCCTCAGCGAGCGCTCCTTCCTGCTCACCTCCTGCAGGCACAGGCGGCTCATCATCAGCACAAACACACACAAGATGCCAACATAGAGACACAAAATGACGACAAAAAGACACAAAATGGCCAGAAAAAAACAAAGAAACACAAAATAATACAAAAGAGACATGAAATGACCACAAAGTAAATCAAAAAAGCCCTGAAATGTCAACAAAGTGGGACAAATGGCAGCAAAGAGACAAAAAATAAAAGACAGCAAAGTCTGTCCGAAACACAAAACGACTCAGGCCACAGAGGGGTAAAGGTTCCCACGGTTCAGACTTGCAGGCGTCACGTTCTTCGTCCCAGTCGGCGTCAGACTGAAGTCAAACACAACACAAAGCTGCAGCGTTACTGCTGGACTCAGACCCGGTGTGTACCTGCGTTGTGCGGCTCAGACTGCTTTGTGTGTCCGTCTGCTGGGCGTCGTGTGTGTCGACCTGCAGCTGCAGCGCGTGCAGCCGCTCAGACTGTTCCTGGATCAGCGTCTGAGCCTGCTGCTCTCTGCTCAGGGCCTCACGCAGCTCCGCACAAACGCTGTGGAAACGCTCGGACGCCGCCTGCACACACACACACACACACACACACGCACGCACGCACGCACGCACGCACATACACACACACAGCAGTGGATGGATCACACAAAAAGATCAACAAATAGACACAACAATCACAAAGAGGCAAGACTTGTCAACAAAGAGACACAAAATGACCACAAAAGACATACACTGAAATCTAAGACATAAAAAAGCACACACAGTCAGCAGAGGCACACACTGACCACAAAGACACAAAAAATTACCACAAAAACACAGATTATGAAGGCAAAGCTACAGAAGGAGATCACAAGACACACAAAATAACGCACAATAACCACAATGGCGACCAAAAGACAAAAAATTAGACTAAAGAGACAAGAAATGACCACAAAGGGACACAAAAACACAAAACAACCACAAGAAATGACACATAACAACTACAGACGCACAACAAACTCCCACAAAGACATAAAATTCACAAAATGAAGACACAGAAAGTAACACACAGAGACCAGTTGTGTTGGTCTGTGTGCCAGGTGTGTGTCTCACCATCTTGCGACTGTCCTCCCTCTCCCGCCGCTGTCCTCTCCTCTGATTGGCCAGCTCCACCCTTAGGCTCCGCCTCTCCACCTCGGCCGAGTGCAGCCGTTGGCTGAAGAGCAGGAAGTGCTGCTGCAGGTTGGACACCAGCGCCTGCCGGGAGGACAGGTGGTCAGCGGGGGGGGGGGAAGCACACCTGTGGAGGGCTCTCAGGTGTTCACTCACCTTCACGTCGGGTCGAGGAGTCAGTCTGAGCGTGTCCGCCTCCACGCTGTCTCCTGATTGGTCCAGCAGCTGGTCCAGGAGGCGGGACAAACCTGAGCGGGCGGCCGACATCAGGTGGGGAGGGGCGGAGCCTGCAGAGGGACGGATAGACACACTGACACCTGGACGGCCTCCTTGGATGTATGCATGTACGTACAGGTGTGTGATGGTTACCAGGGCGACACAGCGCCTCCTGCAGGTCGGACATGGACGACAGCAGGATGGAGGGCAGACGGTCAGAGCGAAGCAGGCGGCGGACAGCGGCAGCACCGCCAACGTCCGACCCAACTACAGGACGGAAATAAAATACAACAAGGGTTCTGTTTGCTCCTGGGACACAACGGCACGACAAAGACACACAATGAAAACACAGAGACACACAATGACATAAAACTGAGTAATAATGACCAAAAGAGACACAAGAAGGCATCAAAGACACAAAATTACATCAATATGACACACAAAGACACAAAACGACACCAAAGAGACACAAAAAGATGCCAAAGAAACACAAAACTATGTAAAGGAGAGATAAAATCACAACGAAAAGACAGGAAAAGGCACAAAACGACACCAAAGGGACAATAAACTACATTAAAAAGACACACAAAGACACCAAAAAGATAACACAAACAACACAAAGAGAAGCTAAATGTGTTGCTGTGATTATCCCCTCTGTTGTGTG